TGTACTTGTAGAGCAACGATAGACATAATAGTATGAATAGAACTGGAGCTTTTATGATATTGATATCATAAAAGCTCCGGATACGGATACGCTACGGGGATATCAGACACAGCACAGGCACCCAGACATCCACAGGCACGCACTATGCGTGGAGACCGGATCTTGCGGATGCGGGCTCTGGCGGTGCTGGAGTCCGGCGACTACTGGCTAGAATCGGGCACGAGGATTTATCAACGGCGAACGTGCTGTACTTGTACCGTAGTACTTGGCGATGTATCGGTTCATTGTTCGGAACTGAGTATACAGATCATTCATTTCTCTAGAGAGACTATCTCTACTATTCTATACAGAGTATCTCTCCTACGGAATCTAGTTGAGGTGCATCCTGCAGGGGCCAAAACAGGCGACTCTGTAACAAACATCCAGCCGCAGCGCCAAAGCAGAGCGCCAGAATAACCACCAGCACCAGCCATTGCATTGGCTGTCTTAAATACGACTTTTTTTTTCTTCTGTATGATTTTTTTTTTGTTTATTCTGTATACTACAGCAGAGTATTATTCATGTTCATTGTACTGTACTGTACCTGGCTGTGTTACACTCCACCTGATCAGCCAATCATACCTCTCAATCCCCTGACCCGAGGCCTCCACCTCTTTCCCTCAGTCTCTCTTCTTTTCTCTTCTCTTTTCTCTCCTCTCTCTTCTCTCCCCATCTCTCTTTTTCTTTTCTTATCATCTCCGACCATCCGTTCGTTTTCATTCGCTTTTTTCTTTTCTTTCCTTCGTTTATACTTTTTTAGGTCGCTTCGTTTCACTCTTTCAACGACGACCGTACCGCTCGCTACTACTCTCTACTTTCTTCGCTCCCTGACGACGCTTGCCAGTCGACTTTCTGAGAACCCCGTCATTCCACGACGACAATCCTCATTCTATCTCCGATTTCCGGTATATGCGACTGGATTCTTGACGCAGACGGGCGAAGATTGCAGACTATATTCTTTTCGCTTCTTATATACAGCTGCATAGGTCAGCTGTTTTCCTGTGGGATCTTGGATTGACGCCGCTGCGACGCGCTCACCGGTTCCTCCGATCTGTATACCAGATCCTTTTTTATACACACCAAATTTCTATTCACGGAGCTTTGGACCTTTTCTCTCCAAGCTCGCTGCCATTCGTTTATTTACTCCACCTTCCTCCCGTCATCTCTTCGTCTCGCGCTTGACGCTGCTTCGAGAGACTCACTTGTCGGCCGGATCGTCACCTCTCTTGTTTCCTTTACAACAACTCTTTCGACATTCTTTACTCTTTTTCTCCTTTTCGATCCTATTTCAGCAATGCAAACCATGTCTTCGACAGACGTCCCTGGCCCGTCGGCCATTTCCTCCGCGACTGCTTCGTCTGTCGCCTCGACGCCATCTCCGTCGATGTCGAGTGTCACCAACACTCCGTCCACTTCGGCTTCGGCCTCGCGCCGCCCTCATCGCAAGAGCACCTTGACCCAGCAGCAGAAGAACAACAAGCGTCAACGGGCTACCCAGGATCAATTGTCTACTCTCGAGGTGGAATTCAACAAGAACCCTACTCCTACCGCTGCCACGAGGGAGCGGATCGCTCAACAGATCAGCATGACTGAGCGTTCCGTGCAAATTTGGTTTCAGAACCGGTGAGTTTTACGATCGATATAATGGATTTGTGCAGAATTGACTAACAGACATAGCCGCGCCAAAATAAAAATGCTCGCCAAGAAAAGCATTGAAACGGGTGAGGGCTGTGACTCCATTCCCGAGTCCATGCGTCAGTATCTCGCTATGCAGGTTGACCCAAACAAGCCTGGCGCAAGGGATGCGTTTGGCCGCGCGGGGGCTTATGGAGCCAACGGCTACCCCAGTGAAGCCACCCCTTCGGGCAAAGTTGGTACGTTCTAGTGTTTTAGTTTGACACCTGCATGTAGCTTGCATACTCTTACTAATTATGCATCTCCAGTTATTCATCACTTCACATGCCGTTCGCTGAGCGTTGGAAGCTGGCGCCGCATCGGACAAAATGCTATGGACCTGGTGGTCTTCTACTCGCCAGAGAAGGCCTGCATGACCTACTACATCAACAACGACTCCGCCGGATACAAGATCGAGTACCCCTTCTCCCACATCAAGAACATTACCCTGGAGTCGGGTGACCAAGGTCCCCTACCCAACGGTGCCCCTCCCAGGCCTGGTGGCTTGGTCGTGGAATTGAACCGTCCGCCGATTTTCTACATGGATTCCTCCAACTCTGGAGGCTTCTACCAGTGCGGTGACTTCACTGAGGAGCAACAAGCTAGTCAGATCTTGGTTCACCATCTTGGAGGTCATCCCAAGGTTCTTAGCGTTCAGCTCGCCAAATTGGTTTCTCTGGAGTCTTTCCAGAACCGTATGGCTTACAACTTTGCGATGCCTGCCCCTCCGATGTCGCCTCCCTTTATCCAACGCCCGGCTTCGCAGCCCAACCACCACCACTTCACAGCTCCGTTCTTGGGCATGTACCAGGATGCTCCTCAGCACCACCCGCATATGAGTCTGCACCCCGGTCGAGGACACAAGCGCCAACGGAGTCGCTCCGTCCCAGTTGCGGTGGATTTCTCGGCATTGCAAGCGCCGCTGTCGTTTAACATGCCGCAGACATCGCCGTACACAAGCCATGCGGACTCGGGGATTTACGCTCCGGTTCCTCAACCAGCTCACCCATTGTCTCTAAACCTGCGAATTGACACTTCGACCCCCTACGGAATGGATCCTCGAGGCCCTCCGATGTCTGCGACAACCGCAGCCTCTCCATCCGAATTCGCGAGTCCATCCATGTTCACAGCAGCAGGCGAGTCCACCCCAATTGCTACCACCATGGGGGCGCCCTTCCACATGCCATTCGTTTCGCCGGCGGTGGAATCGTCGCATATCGCGTCGCAATCTGCTTCGCCATACTCGACCGTCAGCGCTGCCGACCCCATGATCGCCAATCACTCGCCTCCGCTGTCGAACATGCCGCACGCGTCGACGGAGATGTACGGTTTTGGACATGAGCATCAGTCCTCGCTCGCAGACGAGGGTATGGGGTTGGGTGAGATGTATCCCAAGCAAAATGTGAACTACTCTGTTCCCACTAGTATGGGACTTGAGAGCAACAACTTTGAAATTCCCATTCATAGTCTGTCCGGTCACAACTCGCCAAGCGTTCAGGGCGACTATCAGAGCATGGGCTCGTTGGATCACGTGGATCCTAACACATTGGCACCTGGATCGTAAAGTTCTCGGACATGCACTCGATATATTTTTTCGCTTTTACGCGCACAAATTCTCGTGATTCAGCCATTTAGGGTTTCCCTTCACCTGTGCAGGATATGGTGTTGATCCAATTCATTCCCGATTTTCAAAACGATACCCCCTCAAAGCTCACTGGTTCCTGTATTGGATACCATGCTGTTCAACACAGGAGACCCGTTGAGATTTGTGTGTCTCTTTTGCAACTTGGCCAATTGGTCAATTGATGGCGATGATTAGGCGGATGTGATTTCCCGTTCTATTTGAAATATTTTGATTGATGTTTTGTTGTTACTAATACCCTTCTGCTTGCGGCTGGTCCTGACCCTTTTTGTGTTTATTCTTTCTGGTTTTCTTCTCTTCTTCGTCTGACTGCGGTTGGATTCCTTTTTTTCATGTTTTTTTTTTTTTTTTTTTTTTCTCTTCTTATCCTGGTCATTTGTTGTATATGCTGACCAGGGGACCCCTTTTATCCAACACTTTTTTTTTAACGTGGTTATGCCAGAAAGTCGGACTTGAAGATGGCGATTTCTCTTCAGATTCTCCCCTTTTTGTTGCTGCTTTTTATATACTCTGGGTCGGCGGGTTAGGTATTGTTTGTATTTCACTTGTCGTGATGGTCATTTGTTTTGTTTGTTCTAGGTCATGATTCTAGCCTGGATCCATGCTGACAGGGTTGTAACATCCTCTGTCCTGGGCGTGCAGTTCCGGTGTGAAGTTAGTAGAGATAGTCACCGAATCATGATTTTTGGGATAACTTTGTTCAGGGTATCTATCTATTGTACAGGGTATGTATTTGTACATCGCAGTCTACGAACTGTAATTCCACCCTTTTGGCGGCGGCGCACACAACCCCCTCGACTCCCTCAAATACTTCTCCAGCAACATCTCCATCCTCTCCAGCATATTCATCCCTGGCCTCCCCTTCCCAGGCTCAACACCCTCATACACCCCATCACGGCACCAAACGCTCCACGCCCCCATCATACTCGCCATAATCACATCCGTCCCCAACCGATCCCCCACAACCGCAATCTCATCCGCCCGCTCAACAACCCCCCGCTCTCGGAACCAGTCTACAACAGCCTCCCCGCAGAATGGTTTCTTCTCAATCCCCGCTGGTAATCTGAAGACGGGAATTTGGAGATACTCGAGACTGGATTCGAGGGAGTGTACTTCGGTGTCGTAGCGCGGGTGACTACCTGCGCGGTTTGAGACTATCAATATCGATGACGGGGATGTTTGTTGGTTGAATGGCGAAGTTGAGGATTTACGCAAGTGTTCGAGTTTCGTGAGGATTTGGGGTGGGAAGGTTGTTGTTTTGGGGGGGCAGAGGGTGTTGTCTTTGTCGAGGACTAGAGCGCGGATTACCGGTGACTTTGTCGTGTTTTTTTCGGTTGTTGGTGGTGTTTGTTGAGATTGGACGAGAGATGGACCGATGTTCTCGGGGAGATGCGTGAAGGTTGGGACTGTGAGGTGTGGGAGGAATTGGGAGGGTGTTGTAAGGAGGGTGCGGACGGCTTGAGTGAAGCCGCGGAGGTTTGTGTTTGTCATTTTTTTCCCCCTTCTTCTGTATGAATGTATGTTCAATTGCGCATTATGTACACTGTGCAGAGTAGTAGAGAGTAATGGTTAGTAGTGATCGAGTTGTATGCTTGTAGAAAAAAACCGCCAAGACCACAGAGCCGCAAAACTCTCCGCCTTGGATCTTGAGCTAAGCTACAGAGTTGTCTTTGCGCTTTTGCTCTGCTTCTTCCACTCACGTTCGCAATTCAATAATAACGCGTATTCGCGTTTTCATAATCTCCTTATTCTTTAAGAAGAATTCATTGAGGGATTGTCGTCGATATGGGCAAGTTAACTAGCACGATCGGGATTCCAATCAAGCTTCTGAATGAAGCGCAGGTACGCTCGCTCTATTTTCTATCCAGCTTTACGATTTTGTCTTGAGAAGAGCTAACGCTGAGATATTTGATAGGGCCACGTCGTCACCCTCGAGATTACATCCGGCGTCGTCTACCGAGGAAAGCTTTTGGAGGGTACGTCCACACCACCTGTCCCGAACCTATCCAACCAAGCCAAACCCACCACCGTCCGACCCTTGAACACACAGCTAACAATGAAACAGCCGAGGACAACATGAACGTCCAACTCAAAGACATCACCGTGACCGCCCGCGACGGCCGTGTTTCGCATCTCGACCAGGTCTATATCCGGGGGAGTCATGTGCGGTTCTTTATTGTGCCGGATATGTTGAGGTACGCCCCTCCCCCTGCCCTTGTATACGGATTGCGCCTTGCAAGACAACAAGGCAAGATGGAAGGAAGATGGATGCTAATCTGCGATACAGGAACGCACCTATGTTCCGCTCGAGAGGCCAGCGCGGCAGAGGTGTTGGATTGGCGCGTGGTAAGGCGACGGTGCAGAGGGCTAGGGGACAGCGGAGGGGTTGATTTTTGTCCTTGGGACTTGGTCTTTTCGTTTTTGTCGCGGTTTACTACTACATTTTCCATGTGATGGTCGGCGTTTTTTCTTTGTTTTACTAGGGGACTTGAAAATTTACGCTCAATGAGATAATCTGTCTGGTCCAGCTCATGCTATAGATAGTGTTGCAAGCAAAGCAGGCAGGATTGGTATTTGTTCCTGGCCTTTAGAGATTATGATTCTGGGGGTATCAGCTTTGTTTGTCTGTCCTGCCTCCGTAGTTTGTACACCTACGGGGCAGTAATTCTCAAACACATGATAACGAGGCCTGGATAATAATAGTTAGAAATATCTTTCTTGTTCACGCCAAACAAATACATAGGGGCGTGTATAAAATCTTGGAGCTTGGTTCTGGCCCTGCAAATCCATCCAAGTCAGCTCCGCCGATTCTCCATCCGCAATCTATCCATGTCCCCTTCAAATATACAACCAACCCACCAGAAACCCACCACACACTAAAAAAAAAACACCGACCATAATGACTCCGTCACCTCCCTCATCACCAGAAGCAACAGCAACAACATTGCCAAACCCCGCCTCCGGGACATCGACATCAAAACCGCAATCCAAACTAGTCACCTCTCCCCGCCGCCTCCTCATCCTCACTCCGACCTCGCACTCCCTCACCACTATCCCTCCCCTCTTGCATACATTAACGGGCGTCGCGGTTAAAGATCCTCCTTCCGCGACTACGACCGTGGCTGCGACTACAACCGAGTCTGAAGACGCGCCTGCGACGACGACGTTCGCGGGGTATACGACACACACCCCCCTCACGATCGAGAATAAGTATTACAAAGCAGAGGTGCCGATATGGGTTGATGAGATTCCGACGTCGTCTACGGATGCGAATACAAATATTGGAACAGAGGCGAAGACAGAAACGGAAGTGAAAGGAACAGGAGCAGCGCAATGGAAAACTGAATTCTCAGGCGCTGAGGCGCGGGTCGTGCGTGATGCGATTGGGGGTGTCGTTATCTGTTTGAAGAACCCGCGGCCGCATGCTATTGGCGGGGATACTAGTGAGGAGGGTGAGCGGGAGGATGTACAAGCGCTCAAAGACTTCCTACGGTGTATCGGGGATGTCAAGAAATTAATCGAGGGTGAGAGAAGTGGTGATGGCGACGGTGATGGTGAAGGTGCGGGAATTGGGTTTGGGGAGGTGCTGGGGTTGATTATTCTCGTTGAGGATAGGAATAAGAATAAGAATACGAAGTCTAAGAAGAAAGGAGGCAGTGATATCGAGGATGACGGAGGGCTAGAAGAGACGGAGGAACCGTTTTCTATTTCCTGGTGGGAAGAACAGCTTGATGATATCGGGCTGATGGATTTTGATATTGCGAGTTGGGATCCTAGTGCGCCGGACACGGATATTAGGGATAAATATGGCGGTTCGTGCCCCTCCCTTCTTCTACTCCATAATATGGTATATGCTAATTGAGCTCAGAATATCAAGGAATGCGTCGAATTCGCCAAATCATCGAAACTCACGATTGGGCCTCTGATGATCAATCCGCAGATGCAGATGCAGATTTAGGTTTTGACGATGACCTCGAAGAACAACTCTTAAGCTTTGAAAAGAGTAGCAGTGGGTTCAATCTCGAGGTCAACGAGCTGGAGCGGGAGATGTTTGGCTTGCGCATGGCAATTGAACGGGGTGGTGATGATGGAGAGGAGTTTGGCGATTTTGAAGGTGATGACGATGGTGACATTAAGGTTGAGTCAATGGAGGCGTTGATGTTACGGATGCAGGCTATTAAAGGTATTTATTTTTCTCTGTTTCTGTTCGGGCATATGCTAATGGAGCAGATATGAGCGCCGATTTACCGGAAAGCGAACGGAAGAAGTTTGCGGCCAAGGCGGTTCGGGATATCATGAAAGAAATGTAATCATAGGTATAGATACTATAGACTAATATCTACATATATACAACCATATCAAGATAACCTAGCTCTTCTGCTTCCTGAGAACCTTGCGGCGCTGAGCAATCATGTGCGTGTAGAGAATGTACGAGCCTGAGTCGTCAGTCGGTATATGCCACTAGAACGAACGGGAATAGAGGGACATACCAGGAACATAGATACCAAGAACAACGACCAAAAACCACCAGAAAGCCGGGTGCAACTCAGCTGCCGGCTTAAGTGCTTTAACCACCATCGTGCACTCACTGCTAATACCAAGGGGGTACAGGACGTAGAAAGTGTTGTATCTACTTCATTAACATTCTTTCTACCCCTCATACCGAGCAATCTGGAGAGAAGAGAGACATACCTTAACCAAGTCCACCACCCCGGCACCCCAACTCCACCAACCTGCAACGCAAAAAACCCATACCGAATACACTCTGTAACCCCCCAAGCCCCCAAACACCCCAAAAACGCATAATCACCCAATTGCGCCTCCCCACCAAAGCCACCCACAATCTTACTCCCACCCCAAGCAGCACCATGATCCCCGAACGGGTACATAATCCCCCAAACCAGCAACAACCGACTCGCGACTTGCATGAGTGTAGTCATCACGGGAGCGCGCACGAGGCCGAGAAGCGAGTGTAGGATTTCGAGGATCGCGAGAGATTGCGCGGTGAGAAGGTAGGGGTTGTAGATTTTGTTGAAGATGGTTGGGAGGGGGGTTTGTTGGGTGAGGAGGAGGGCTGCGTAGGTGGTGCTTGTCGCCCAGAGAGTGAAAGCGAGGGCGTTGTAGGTAAAGAGGTAGACGCGGGTTAGGGACATTTTGGCGGTTTGGTCGTTAACAGAGGACGACTCGAGAAGAGAGGACGGAAGGAGCGAGCAGGAGTGCTCAATTGCTGGCGATGCTCGCTCGGCTCGGTGGTTGTTGTTTGTTGTCCTTCGGCAAATTTTGGAAATTTTGGGGATTCGGGGATCTGGAGATGATTATGTAATATACAAACTGTTGGGACAACATTCTAAGCCCAAAATTGGGCATTGTGTTAATGATCACAGGAAAGTTTAGAGATATCTAATTGGTTGAGTAAATGTCGCCTATTGTTAGCTGTGTTTAATGATATTGAAACAATTTTGCACGATTTCTCAACAAGCCCTAACTTATACTTTTAACCGCAACAATGTTCATGCTGGAAACTGCCTGTGATATTCTTGTTTTTACACAGTAGCAACAAACTGAAAAGACTCCAGTCAACTCAATTCAACATAGGATGTATGAGCTAGGTTTTCTCCCATTTTAACAAGATTACGTTGTCTACACGATGAGAAATGCCCAGCTCGGAAAGCCCATTTGTCCGCGATTTCCAGTGAGCGCATTCGACAACAATGCTTGAATATTTTGGCTCATGTTAAGCCACTGTTCATCGGATCTATATCTGTTGCCTGAGTGTGTAGGTGAGCATTCCGGCCTGGTTCTAACTGTGATTCAAGCATTTGTGGTCTCTCTTTAGATAAGGCGCTAGAACATTTAACTCTATTAGATGAGGAACCGGAAAAAGAATTCAACGTTTTGCATCTCTGATTGTCGTTCTTTGTTTTCAGACACTGTAGTAATATATGGTAGCATGTGTTCCCAAATTTGTCTCATTACCCACCTCTATGTTGTGTCTCGATGTAGCTTCCGCGCACCGATTTGGTGAAGTCCATAATAGTACCTTTGAGCTGAAGTGATGCTTCTGCCACCACCAAGCGCACTGCAAGCTGACTGACATTTTAGCACAAGGTGTGGTGTACTGCCCGCGCTGCTCCCATTTGAATTAGCACATATAAGAGCGAACACTTTTCGGGTCGAAGGTGGCTTGGGTTGTGTAACCCATCATGCCTTGGCATACATAGCAACATTGATGGGCATGTGAATTACTGTCATACGCTTGACCAATATTAGTCAAGCCACCAAGAAAATGTTCGTTCCGCCTCATACCCTTGGTGGCCCGAACCCGTCTCTCATAAAATTCGATGTTATCATATTTATATTGTAAGTCTCTGGGGAGCACAACAAATGCCTCTATATCACTCAGTGCCAAAAAGGCTGCAAGAGTGAGAGGTTTGTATTTATGGAGGCGTATATCGCGGGTCTTCCTGCAGATTTTTTTCGATTTCGACGGCCTCCTTCCAATTTCCCTTGCTTGCTCCGACAAAAAAGGGTGCACATGCCGTAGGCTTGTGAAGACACAAAAAAGTTCTTGGCACACGGCCTAAAATGTTTATCGTGATCTGGTACTTTCTCTATTATTCGTCGGGGCCATCGGTATTGGAATGCTTTGCTTATTTGAGCCAATATGGTTTATGAACTCGAGAAGAATTTATATTCTCAGATTATCAATTTCTTGGGCTCGATTAGTAGAATACCTAGAGGTATTTATCTCGGTGATACAGCTAGAGCTCGCTCTATGTCGAGAATTGTGAGCAACAGGATGCTCAAATATCTTAGAGCTGCGGTTGCATATGCGAGAGTGTTTCGTAGCACGCCTGACTAGCTCTGAGGCCGTATACTGGGTGCTATTCCTTGACATATTCTGAACAAACTGCGTCAACAGAATCCGTATCACGAGTGTCGTCATTTCTCGCTTTTGTTTTGAAGTTGCAACTGTTCAATGAAAAATCTAACATGTCGTGTTATATTCGAATTGAAAAGGTTTGCTGTTCCAAACATCGATATGCATTAGAAGATACTGAAGAAGCAATGGAAGTTGACTCACTATGATTCGGGATGGGTAATGCTTCTGAATTTGGCAAACCATCCTGTTGAGATCAGGATGTCTCCACTGTCAAACTCTCACCAAGGATCCCTCTTGTGCAATACCAGGTGATTTGCGATGGTGAATCCGGCCTTGTATGGTTTAATAAGGTGTCGGAAATGGGGATAGTGCACTAATCACAACTTCTGCGAAGTTGCATAGTATGCCCTCAACTTAAAATGCTATAAGTCGTTAATTTGCTGGTATCTGATACCCCATCATTTCCTGACACACATGGCGGTTCTGATAACGGCCAGGAAACATCTATTGGCCCACCCGTCTCTTTGCACGAAGTCTCAGGAGGAGCGAGCAGATTCCGATGGTCTATGTTTGAGCCAAATTGTCAAGGAGGTAGTTTATTCGTACCAGTCTTGACGACCTCCTGTCGCGCTTTTTCTCAGATCTTCATTCGCCTTTCGTTCTTCAGACAGACCCATCAGGAACATGGACATAACTTAGCCAAGCCCATCCCAAGCTTGAAAACACGTCGCGTGAAGACTTTCTGTATGACGATGAAATTCCATTGGAATAAATCGGACTCAGTTCAGAATACCATTCATGGCTTATCCCAATTCCTCCGAGCTGAGTGGGCCATCCCTGAAACAATGCCAGGACAAGAGAGGAAACGCTTGCAAGGTACCTAGCTGAGCCAGGGCCTGCCCACGACCGTCAGGTATGTTATCATAAGCCTTCGCCTTTATGATAAAAAAAAAAAAAAAAAGGAGACTGAATTGTCTCGTCATTAAAGTCTCGCCCTTCTTCAGTCTCGAAAAACAAGATCTTTTTGACATACCAACCCTTAGAAATATACCATGCCATGTCAGACTGGATCCTGAAACTTTCATTCCTCTCATGGCCCCTTTCACAGGACTGCGAGTTTCATAGAGTCGTGTCTGTTTAATTTCTAGACGGAGTTCTTTGGATAGCCTGATAGACACATCTGCCTCTCGTAGCGGCTGAAACGCTTTTAAGGCCAAAGGCCCATGGGCTCATTACTTGCGAGGCGTCTGTCCCGATCAGCTAATCGCTGTTGAATCTCTGGTGACCCGCCACAGTTCTCTTCATTTGCACTGATTATGAATGGCGCTCGGGATGTTGTGTGATGAACAATGGCCGGCTAAGATCTGGCGAGGATGGTGAGACTTGAAATCAGGTAAACCTTGTGCGTTGCTTCAGACATCTTGATTATGCTTGTACTAATCCATTTGACGGATAGGAGGATGATCTCTCTATTGCTATAAGTGATGTGTATATGATAGTCGTTTATTCCGGCTTATTTGTGGATGTCAAGCCACTACTTTACAGTTCTATGGAGCTGAGCTCTGTCACCCACTATTTTCTCTTTGCCTTATCCTCAGATATTGATTCTCGTCTTAGATGTATTCCACTGACAGCAAAAACAGTTTCTTGTGATATGTTGATGGCTTCGTTTTAGTTTAAGAAATGAGCATGTCATTTACACCACGAAAGTGGCACCCTTCGATGTCTAACCAGAGCTTCGGAAATATTTCGAAGCCTTGGAACGTGAGTAACTTTCATCCTTATGGACTTTGGAAGGACTTCAACACCGCCTCAGGAAACAGATCCCATCTCGAGAAGTTCGAACGGCCTACTATGGCTGGATGGCAGCGAGAGCCAAAGAAGAGCGTTTGAGAGAAAGAGCCCCGTTAATGACACAAACCGAATCCTCCATGTACTCGAGAAAAATGGATTACAATGATGAGCAAAGCTGAGCAAAACTGGGCACTAAATGAACAGGGTGATGACGCCATGGCTCCCCGTTGACAGAGATTAGAACGGGGAATTCTGCGAGATTGTGACAAACCCCAATGCTCTTCTTCTAGATCAAAAACCATCAAGCGGGGTTAGCTATAGGCTTGTTTCTAGTAGTGCCCTGGATCTCAATACTAATGTACAGCCTGTTATACCTGCTCTCGATCACATGGCTTTCTCGGAGGAACGTAAGCTCATCAATGAGAATGATCACAAGTCTGACGAGGGCGGTTGGTATTCCATCAAATTGGCGACTTGGAAACCTGGTGCGACGATAATGAAGATCTGCAAACCCTAGAAGATGCCGGGAACCGGGATTGGGCGGAAACACACTTTGCTGCGGTCGTGCGTCTGTCCCCGCGTGGAGAGGCTAATGGCGTTTTATATTGTCTGCGATTTCTATCCTGACCATAATCTTACGGGTGGTAGATCGCGCAGGTATCCTGGGGCTACCTGGAGCTTC